AAAATAATGTTTTTTCCGTTGATTTTACCAAACTTAAAAAGGTTGAAGAAACCAAACTCAGCTTGTCTTGTAGCTGAAGAGATACCCTTTCGTCCCATATACAGTTATTCTCCTTCCGAATTATTCCACGCCAGAGACGGTCGCTAGATTTGAGGGTGTGCAGCTTCGAAAAGAGGCCCCAAATAAACTGGGGTGTGCCCCCATAAACATCAGATAAGCTAAATTTGTAGATAAAGAATGGTCCAGCATCACAGAGTGCATTTTGTAATTAGTACATCAAGCTTGGATAGTCACCAATATTGATGTAAGTGCTGATATCGGTAGATAGAACTTTATCTTTCTGGCACTTTCTATTTTGGGTCAGGTGTACATTGTCATGATTTTACTTGATTTCCGAAAAGATGTTCCTACAGTCACAGTTTGTAGGTTTAGCATTAGCACACCATAAATCCTACTAATGAATAAAGTTATCTCTTGAGGAACATCTGCTTTCCGTATCAGTCGGCGGCTCATTACACACATGCACCGAAATGATGGCTTAATTTGTTGTACTCAAGAGTAATGCAATACATGGCCTCTAGAGCCGAGCATACTGTTTCATTGATAGTCATCATCAGTGTTAAATGTTTAACTTAATGTAATGTAAATACATGTATGTGACATCGTACCGTCACTGGGTCAAGCAACTACAATCAGTCTTTTTCATGTTTGCTTCAATCAAAATCTTTTTGTTTAAGGTTTAGTACTCAGTAATGGTTAAAACTTCCAAAACATCAAAGGCCCACTCTTTTCGCCTTTTTCAATACATATTTGATTTCAAACTGTCGTTGCAACATACCTGTTTATGTATTACATATCAGTCTCTCTGTCACATATACATAGTACGTTATTAGTTTTAAGTAGAGATAGAACGTTAGATTTAGTAGAACGTAGAACGTCATGTTAGCATATGGTTTTATACCATTCTTCCAAACATTCTGCACTCATTGCCCTTATCAGTATGCAATTGGCCCTCAGGAATGAACTTGCAATAAAGAACTCCACATAACCCTGTGCAGCTTCTCTTTTCAAGCTGACCCCTCGCCCATACTCGTGTAACAGTAACCCCTTCATATTTGGCATATGGAATAGCCCAAAGAACTTCTGCCCACCTCCTTTTACCTCTGGACTGTCCTTTCAGTGTTGGTCATCTAATACTGTGTATTAGCTGACCAACCTGTGACCCTCACAGATGTGATGAATCATCGAAACTGTGGCCTGCAGGTTGAAACACCAACACAACCGACAAC